TCGGGTGGTAAACCAGAGCGTCCGCAACCATCTTGTCTTGCTGTGCTTTGGATCCTTATATATCAGGCCTTGTATGTAATCGCGAGGGCGAGGAAGAGTAGAAGAGGTCCAGCTCCAATCTTTTCTTGTGTGAACGGGAGGCGGTTTGTGTTTCTGGTGTGTAGAGAGAGTGAGAGAGCGAAGACAGGAGTGTCCGGGGAGGACAGGTGTGGGTTGGAAAAGGGAACGTCTGGGGATGTGACAAGTGCGGAGCCCGCGTGCGGAAGCGTAGGGAGTCGGTCGCTCTCTTGAGCGTGATTGCCGGGGAAAACGCGACCACCTCGGCAACTCGATCCACACGTCACATTATCACCTAGCTTACAAGTACACCGAACACGCTTGGAGCTGGGCTTGCGCGACACATGTGAATATGGCATACCGGCTTGCTGCATTCGAAACACTCGGTTGTATTTTTTATTTTTTTCTCTCTCCTTATCGCTTCGACATTGCTAATGCAGTCGCAGTCGCATGTCCCTATTTCTCCTCGTTGACCCCAAGTTATCATCATGACCCATGACCACGTTCCCCCTTGGTAAAGAATATTTAGAGACTCATTGTATAGGCATGTCACACTTGACTTGACCCAGTCGCTGCGATTCAGCACATCACAATTATAGATACCCATTTCGTCCACCAGCCCGTACCACAAAGCAAACACCAAACGCCGATAATGCTACCGCCTAGACCTTGTAGAAACAAAAGGCATGATAAAAGTCCGCGGCCTCCAATTCCTCTTCTGAAGTCAGCAACCGGCCTGTCGCACGATCCCTGACCTTCATGACCTCACTCAGCGGCCCGAGAATTGGATCGTCCTTTTGCTCATCCCAGATATCACGGAATGGCTTGCGGTATTGTAGTTCGAGATTGAAGTCTTCGGCCAGCGCTCGGAATGCTTCCCACGGTACCACATACTCAGGCGCCTCGACCGCTTCCGTCAGCCAGTACGAATACTTCCAGCCATAGGGCGGGCGGAATGTGCCATCTGGAGGTGTCTTGCCGGGGAACTTGACACTGTAGATGCTATTTCCAAAGCTGAACCCTTCGTCTTCGACTTCACCGTCTTCCTGTTCTTCCTTTGCCTTTTCCTTGTCCTTTGTCTCGGTAGGCTTGTCGCCATTCTTGTGCTCCGTGTCGGCGGGCTTGGGGCTATCGAGGCTCTTCTCAGGATCCCAGTCGTCCTCGTCATCGCTTGCAAACGCTGGGCGGTCGTCATCGTCATCGTCGGCACCACCATTTGTCTCCGGTGGTGCTGTGCCCTTGGCCTTGTGATGCTCAATGACCTTTTGCGACAAAACGTCCGAGTTGGGTATGCAGCCAATAAATCGCCCTCCTTTCTTCAGGGCGCCAGCGACGTTTCGCAGCATGCCCTTGGCCTTAGCCTCGCTCTCAAAGGCATAATGCATGCAGAACATCATCGTGACCATGTCCCAGCCACCGCCGCCCCAGCGCTGGCTCATAGCATTTCCCTGCCCAGCACCAGGATCAATGCCCACCTCCTTGATGATTGGTATATCGCCTAGCCACTCGCCAAAACAGTCTTTTGCGTAGAACTCGCCATGGAAAAGACGCCTGTTTTTCCTCTGCATCTGCGAAAATCGCTCTTTGGCCTGTCGAATGGACACGTCTGCAGGATCACAGCCGACATAGAGCTCGACTTTTCTCGACTTTTCCCACTTGCCCAAGTCGCCGCCCTTTCCGCACCCAATGTCTAAGATCTTGAGGTGTCGCTCATCGCCAATGAACTTTTGGATGATGGACGACTTGATCCAGTTATTGAAGCTGCGCAGTCCCTTGATTTTGCTGTCAGTGTTGCGCCATTCACGGCCTCGCTCCGGCACCATGTTGTAGTGCTGCTTGACAACATCATGCACACCACGCTGTGCAGCTTCTTCGTGTGCCCGTCTAGCTGCCTCCTCTTCTCGTGCCTGCTGTCGCTTACGAGCCGCTTCTCGGTCGGCAGCAGGCACACGTGCACCTGCTCCCGGACGTTTCCGTTGGCGTGGTGGTGATCTCGACGGTGATCTCGAGGGCGAGCGTGCGCGTTTGTTATTTTGCCCGGCGCCCGCCATGGTGTAGCTTCTGGTGCAGCGCGTCTACTGGCGGGTTCTGGGTCCGACGCGTTGGTGAAGATGGAGTGTTGGTAAGCGGAGTCGTGCGTTGGAGTTTCGGAAAATGTGATTGTATGTGAAAGTATGGAGGGCCTTTGTAGTTTAGTAAAGAAGTTAGCAAGGTGAAAGAAAAACAAGACTGAAGATCAGAAAGACCAAGGGCAGCCGTTGTTCTAGCGTTCCGCGTCCCCAGTGTTCAGGGCCGTGCGCGAGCTTTACCTGCGGAAGTTCAGCGGCGGCGGGCAAGACACTCCCGTCATCACATCAACATCCCCACGACTCAACGCCATCCGCTATTACCCACCACCACCACTTTCTTACCCTCCCCATCTCTCACAATCAGCCACGATGGGTGACCCGCAATTTGCAAAGTATCCCGACCTCCAGCTGTCGCAGCACATCTTCCAGCTCACAAATCCCGCCGCCTCGAAACAAGCAAAGCAAGCTGCCTTGAAGTCGGTTCAGGATGGCATCACCGAGAACAAGATGGCGCCCCTCTACCGGTACCTTGCACACCCCGTAGATGGCGTCCTCAATGCACAAGGCGAGGGCAGCGCAGACCAGCCGAGCAAGAACCGGAGACCTTCCGCCAGCTTAGCGACGATGCTTGCCACACGGACCCCGACGCTCGAGGTACCACTGCCTTGGGATGAGAAGCTGTACGAGAGCCTAAAGGCCGAGTGTGAGAAGGAGTTGGAGGCGATACAAAAGGAGGAAGAGGAGGCAGAGGAGAAGGCTGGCGAGACCGAAGTGCAGGCTGCGCGGGGAAAGCGCGCAGAGCTGTACAACCGCATAGGTGACAAGGTATTTCACTTGCGCGCTTTACAAAAGGAAAATGCCGCTGACAAAGATGCAGGACAAAGCCATTGCCAGCTACGAGGCCATCTTCGAAAAGACGGGCATCCTGGGCACCAAGATCGACCTTGTCCTTGCCATAATACGCATTGCGCTCTTCTTCGGTGACAGGATACTGGCCAAGAAGTCGATTGACCGAGCCAGCGCATTGGTAGAGAGTGGTGGCGATTGGGATCGTCGCAATCGTCTCAAGGCATACACCGGACTGCACTACCTCACTGTCCGATCACACTCACAAGCTGCCCCGCTGCTGCTTGATAGTTTGTCAACCTTTACCAGCTATGAGCTCTGCAGCTACTCGAACCTTGTGGTCTATGCCATTCTTGCAGGCTCGGTATCACTCAAGCGTGTTGACTTCAAGTCCAAGGTAGTGGATGCGCCAGAGATCAAGGCGATTGTGGGCACTTCGGAGGAGAAGCTCTCCGCCATCACTGGACAGGCTTCGGCAGGACCAGCAGCTGGCGACGAGGAGATGGCAGATGCATCAGGCTCAACGGCGACTCCTGTCCCGATGGTTGTCAATCTCACTACCCTTGGTGGATCGCAAGACCAAGAGGCGGCAGTGGACTTTTCCCCGCTGTCCAAGCTGGTCAAGAGTTTGTACGAGGGCGATTACAAGGGCTTCTTTGGTGCCCTAGGCGAGGTAGAGACCAACTTCCTCAGCCAAGACCGCTATATGTACGAGCACCGCGGCTGGTATGTCCGCGAGATGCGTCTGCGGGCCTACCAACAGCTCCTCCAGTCGTACCGCGTGGTTGGCCTGGAGAGCATGGCCAGAGATTTTGGAGTCACTGTTGATTTCCTCGACAAGTAAGTTGTGTCCTGTTGCATGTAGTGTGCACTGGTACTAATTACGACAACCAGGGACCTTGCCCGCTTCATTGCCGCCGACCGCATTCCGTGCACGATTGACCGCGTCAAGGGCATCATCGAGACGAACCGCCCAGACGACAAGAACAAGCAGTATGCGGACGTAGTCAAGCAGGGTGACCAGCTCATCACCAAGCTGCAAAAGTATGGGCAAGCCGTCAGGCTGAGGGGAAGCGAGCGTGGTTAGAGATTGGCCTTTAGCCAGGCAAACGTGTAATGATGACGTGATATTGTAGGCCTAGACGAAAACAGCGCAAAGACCGCTGAAAGAAATATTCGAGTGAACGCCAATGTCAAGATGCTAGTTCTTTTGTTCTGGGCGTTACGGTGAGGGTTTCGGTGCCCGCATTGCATTGCCCCATCCGCAGCCTTAGCCCCGCTATCTCCGCGTTGCAGCTCATCGGGAAAGCGGGAGCGGCATGCGGTGCGATAACGGGGCGCAAATATTGCTTTTATGCCCTAGAGGTACATCCATTGTCTACCTTTTAGACGTCGATTTGTATCATTGCGACTCCCACGCCCCCATTACATCGCTTCTTACGAGCTCAATCCAACGCCGCCGGTGCAGAGCCCACGCCAGGTGTGGGGTGATCGGCCTCGAGCGACGCCGCCGATAAGCTTTCAGGGTCCAGCTACAATGTCGCCGTCATCGGCTTTGGCGCAGGCGTCTGTCCGCTCACTTTGCGCCCATGGCAGTAGAGCAGGGCGGAGTGGTGGCAACGTGGGTTCACGAGGTATTTTCCGATCCCCAGCCCTCTTTGCAACTCGGTCAGTCGCCAGACACGACGTGACTAAACATGCCCGCACGGCGCCGCGCTACGACGAGGGGCAAGGCGTTTGTCGTGGGAGCACCACTACGGGGTGGGGCACCACTCGAGTCGCATAAAAAATATGGACTACCTTTTGACGCATACATGTCCTACGTGTTTCGAGTGCGTCGCGGGAACTAGCATCTTGCATGCGCATCGCCTTCACCGGAACCATACTTAGTCCAGACCTGTGCTCACAACCTTAGTCCTCTATACACCCTCTACCTCCTCCACACTCCTCCTCCATCCACTCCTACCACCTCCGTCGCCGGCCCGACCCGCACATTTTTCATCGCACCGCCCACACACACGCACCATCATGTCCAAGGCACCAGGCAAGGTGTTGAACATTGGCAACATCAACCCCCACGTCAAGGCAGCCCAATATGCCGTGCGTGGTGAACTAGCCGTCAAGTCGGAAGAGTACCGCGCCAAGTTGGCAAAGGGTGAGGGCAGCGACCTGCCCTTTGACACTGTCATTGCTGCAAACATTGGCAACCCCCAACAACTAGACCAGAAGCCCATCACATTCTTCAGGCAGGTCGCCAGTATACTCGAGAACCCAGGTCTGCTAGAGCATGAGGATGTCTTGCTCAACAGCCTGGGATACAAGTCGGATGTTATCGCCCGCGCGAGAAAGCTCTTGAAAGAGGTCAAGAGCGTGGGCGCATACAGCCAAAGTCAGGGTGCTCCCGGCATCAGACAGAGCGTGGCAGAGTACATTGAGCGTTCGTACATCGGTGTCCCCAATAACAAGCTTGCAACTAACAGAATACAGGACGAGATGGCTACCCAGCCAAGTTTGAGGACATCTACCTCAGCAATGGCGCTTCGTCTGGTGTAAACACACTCCTCCACACAATCTGCGCAAAGCCCGAGACTGGCATCATGGTCCCCATCCCACAGTATCCTCTCTACACCGCTACCCTATCCGTACTCAACGCCCGCTGCGTACCATACTACCTCGACGAGGAGCAGGCTTGGGGCACATCGCTCGACTCTATCCGAACAGCCTACGACAAGGCAGTCAGCGAGGGTACGGACGTCAAGGCCATCTGCGTCATCAACCCGGGTAACCCCACTGGCGCTTCGCTCCCCGCTGAGGACATCAAAGCTGTTCTTCAGTTCGCCGCCGAAAAGGGCGTTGTTGTCATCGCAGATGAGGTGTACCAGACTAACGTCTTCATTGGCGAGTTCATCTCTTTCAAAAAGGCCCTCCGTGACCTGCAAAAGGAAACCCCTGGCAAATACGACAACTTGGAGCTGGCCTCTCTCCATTCCGTCTCCAAGGGCATGGTTGGCGAGTGCGGACACCGCGGAGGATACTTTGAGCTTGTTGGTTTCGACCCAGAGGTTGCGCAGGAGGTTTACAAGTTCATCTCCATTCAGCTGTGCCCGCCGGTGCTCGGCCAGTGCATTGTTGAGATGATGGTCAACCCGCCCAAGGAGGGCGAGCCAAGCTATGCTCTGTACAAGGAAGAGTATGATGGCATCTTCAACGGACTGAAGAAGCGCGCGTATGCGCTGTATGAAGCTTTCAAGAAGATGGAGGGAGTGGAGTGCAATGAGCCTCAAGTGAGTACTGCCTTACTGCCTTACTGAACCCTTATTTCCTTGCAGAACCATTGGCTATTCAGGATACTAACGCAAATCATTAGGGCTCTATGTACCTCTTCCCCACCATCCACCTCCCGGAGAAGGCTGTACAGCAGGCCAAGAAGGAAGGTCGGGCTCCAGACGAGTTCTACTGCTTCCGCATGTTGGACGCGACCGGTGTTTGTGTCGTTGCTGGAACCGGCTTTGGACAAAAGGAGGGGACCTTGCACTTTAGGACAACCTTCCTTGCTCCCGGCACAGACTGGACTGGACGTATTGTCAAGTTCCACGAGGACTTCATGAAGGAGTTCAAGTAGTCTGCACGTGATTTAGGACGACTCCTCGCTGCTCCGTGAAGTAGACTGGGTAGGATTCGTCATAACGAAGTAAATGTGCCATGAATGACAATACTTTGAATCTCCCAACGCGCTCATATATGCGGACTTGGCACTGATTTGCTGAGCGTCGGCTGGTCGGGGCGGCATCAGCATCATTCCTTCCGAAGGACGAGCGCAATATCGCAACTGCCGTGTCTTGTACCTGAATGGCCCTAGTCTTGGCCCGTGCGGCGTGACATTGAACGTGTAGGTCGCCGGACATGTATTTACATACGACGATATGGCGTCCTGGAGTCCGCCCCTGCTCTTTTTGTTTCCTATCCCGTCAGCCTGCTTTTCGTCTCACTTGTTGTTCTCGTGCTTCTAGTTTTCCGTTATCGCCTCCTATATCAATCGACTATTCGCAAAAACGACGTCATGGGCTTATCAAGAATCGAGATACTACCCGATGAGCTACTCGATCTGATCATGTGCTACCAAGATCGCAGGGCACTTCATGCTCTCTGCCTGGTATCCAAAGACATGAACCGTATCGCGACTGCCCGACTATATGCAAACATTGAACTCGAAAAAGACGACTTCAAGTACCTTCGCCCCTTAGCGCTCTTATTCTGGACATCTACGCCCCATCGCGAAGCCGTGCGTTCCCTGTGCGTGCGACATGCATACGGCGGCAACCTCGACCCTTGGCCCAATCACCCAGACCTCGATACCATCATCAGGAACAACCTCGACTTGTACGTAAGGCTAGGTGATCGGGAGCATTGGTTCAACGAAATCAGAGACGGCGCTGATTCGACGCGCATCGCAAGTTTGCTCCTGAGAAGCCTACCTCATGTCATGACGATACAATTACCTGGCTTCGACTTGGTCGACCCTGCATCGAGAAAGACGGACGTTAGTAGTGCGCTGCGCAATATTTCTTAAAATAGAAAACCATGCTTTTGTTTAAGACACTTAATATTCACGACGTTCCACAACCATGGGTTACAACCTGGATGCACCAGGTAAACATGTAGTAATTGTCAAACACGCGATTCCTGTTGCAAATCGAAAGGTCTGCTTCGAATACCTGCGTTTTCTTAGTGCGATGTACGACAAAAGTGGGCCCCTTCACTCAAGTATGGTTTCGACTTCTCAACTTGCTCAAACGCGGCGACTCGTTTACGACGCGAAGGAATTTGAACCACCGTTAGTTAAACAGTCCGTATCTCGAAAGACAAAAATCCACATATTTTCGGAATAACCATTCAGCATCTGTTTCGTTGTCTCAAAAAGCGGAGATCGCGTATTGGCGAAGCTCTCTTGACCATGGTTGACAACAAAAGAGCCTTGGGGCGTAATTTGTAGGGGCAAAATAGGAAAAAAAAATTCAATAATAACATTCTAATACCCTTGCTCCTAGCACCTCATGCCAACAGAACATATCGCTTCTGCAATACCCACACAATGTCTTACTCTTCCAACTTTGATGAGGAAACCGGCGAAGTCTTCATACTCGAGAAGCAGTTCAACAGCGAGTCTTCTTTAAACTCAACTCAAAATGCAAGACCGGATTTTGCTCAGCAACTCACCCATTCAAATCTGTCTTCACTTCTATCCAACTCAAATCCCTCGGCAAAATGGACACGATCCCATGGCTTCTGGCGATCTTTCATTGCAATATGCATACCACTGCTTCTTTCCGCACTGGAAGGAAGCATTACCAACACGGCACTACCCACCATTTCTGACGCTCTTGATTTGAACACCAAATTCTCTTGGATAGCGACTGCTTTCCTCCTGGCCAGTACCGTCTTCCAGCCTTTGTACTCTCAACTGGGAGATATGTGGGGACGCAAACGTCCCATGATAGCAGCCATCGCTATTTTCACTCTCGGTAGCGCAATATGTGCTGGAGCAAAATCAGGTTCAGTGCTGATTTTGGGACGGATCGTTCAGGGGTTAGGCACAGGCGGAATCGATCTCTTCGCTGAAATGATCCTCGGCGATATCGTCCCATTAAGGAAGAGAGGTCCTTATCTAGCGATTAAGCATGTCGCTTTTGCCGTTGGGACGACATTGGGGCCGCTACTCGGTGGTGTTTTTGCAGAACACGGATGGTACTGGTGCTTCCTGATCAACATACCCGTCTGTATCATCTCGCTGGCCATTTTGTGGTTTTGGCTCAGTGTTGGCGAAGGCGTCACTTGTGGCGAAGTATCTATCGGCAACAACCTGAAAAAGATTGACTACATCGGTAGTGGTATACTGACTGGCTCTGTGCTTATGCTTCTCGTTGCACTTAGCACTGGCGGCGCGCCCTGGCCTTGGAACCACCCATCTATCATCACACTCGCCGTGCTCGGAACACTAGGCATCATCGGCTTCATTTTCTGGGAACGCTCTCGCTTTTGTAAGTACCCGATAATGCCACCCCAAGTCTTTTCGAACCGTACGACAAATATTATCTTCGCATTGACCGTTATGCATGGATCCATAACCTACGGCTTCCAATTCTACCTCCCACTCTTTTTCCAGGCCGTCAAAGGTTTGTCCCCTTCAAACTCTGGTGTCAAAGTTATGCCCACGACACTTGTCGTCGTCGTCCTCGCTGCTGTCGGCGGGCCCATCCTCAGCTTGACGGGAAGATACAAACACATCCACATAGCTGGCTTCGCCTGCGTAATACTGGGCCAGGGACTCTGCATAATGCTCAATCACGGCACATCCCCAGGTCTATGGATTAGCATCCAACTCATCATCGCGTCTGGCCTTGGAATCGTGATTCCGACCATGCTCCCCGCCATCCAAGCAAAGCTCCCTGAAGCTAGTACAGCAGAAAGTGCAGGATCATGGGCCTTCCTACGCGTAACAGGATCGCTGTTCGGTGTCGCGATCCCCGGTGCAGTCTTCAACGCGCGCTTCACCTCACTCCTACCCAGCATCTCCTCGCCAGCCGCCCAAGCAAAGCTCTCTCACGGCCAAGCATACCAACACGCAACAGCCTCATTCATCAAGAAATACGGAACCACGCCTATCATAAATAGTGAGATTGTAACCGCATACACGCAATCCCTCAGAAGCGTATGGATCGTCTTTACCGTCCTGGCCGCGCTAGGCTTCTGCATCAGTTTCTGTGAGAAAGAGTACAAGATGCGGACTGTGTTGAATACGGCTTACGGGCTCAAGTCGAAGCAGATGACGCCAAGCAACGGGTCGCCGGCGGGAAGTAGTACACCGGCTTCTTCGGCTGCATCGACAGTGGTGGAGATTGGAGGAGCGCAGACGCCTGTTAAGAGTGAGAGTGAGAGTGAGCTGGCTGGCCATAAAAGTAAAGAGAAGGATTTGGAGAGTGTATTATAAGAGCTGTGTCATAGATGCCTGTTGGAGCTGCTTACGAAGATCATTTGGCTTTTTTTTGTTTCTGTAATATTTTGTCTTTAATGAGTTTAGTTTCTGGGCTACACCATACGTAAATTATGCATGGAATCACCCTTTGTCTTTTTCTCTCTCTCTTTCCTTATATGGAGAAGCAGTCATTCTAAGACAAATATCACCTAGGCTGTGTGTTTTACGAAGAGCTCTTTCTCCCATTGCAAACAGGCGACCATGTGTAGACCCACAAGGCTAAGAAGATACTCTAATCTACTCTAATTAGCCTTGGGAGGTCTTAAGTGTATTGCTCGTATCGGGTGTGAGTCGGTGTAGGAGTATCCCCTGCCTATTTTCTACTACTTCCTTTGTCTGACATGCATAGTTCTATAATGCTGTTGTTGCACCGTATTTGTAATCGTAATTTGTAAAGTCATCCAGCGGTTTTTTTTCGACCTATTAATTGCCAGAATAAGGAGGATTGAGCCAACTACAGTCTTGAACTATATCTTAAGATTACTACCTACATCGCAAACCTACAGAATAGCTCTGCTAACGCTAAAGCCGCGTTTTGGTTCATGTAGAAGACGGTTGCCGCCTTACTGTTATTGGTTTGGCAAAATACGACTGCAGACATGGTGTATACAGTGTACCAAGAAGTCGAGGTTCTGTCTGATACACCATTGGCTAACAGGTAGTTTTCCTTGACTCTGTGCCGTCTTGAGATTTCCACTAACCTCGTATTCGTGTAGCTAGCCGCTCGTCTCCGAAATATCGTGCACATTGCGGTTTGCTCTTAAGCAAATAGGTATTCAGCTCGATATACCGGCTATACACGGATGAGTTGATTTCTTTCATGAAGTATTCGCAGTTTTCACAGTTTTGGCGTGACAATCTGAAGTAAATCATTGTCTGATTCCGTGCCAGATCCTACAGTCTCTTAGTACAGCCCTATCGACTCTCCAAGTTTTTATGTTGGATCGGTGACGAGTTCGGCAGTGCATTAGAACCAAGCACCGAGTAATCTTAAAGTTGTTCACGCGACAAGTTGGATCCGCACTTCCGGCTTGCTTGTGCGGATACTTATCCGCAGCTCGATTGGCAGTGGTATAAGCTCGGCCATATAGTGTTCGGCCACATATAGTGGTCGGCCACCTTGGCCACCCTATGACACAGTTTAGATTCGCGATTTTCTCAACAATAATAATTACATTTGCCACTCAGTACACATAGAGCTAAGAGTAAGAGCTGCCGCTGCTATTACTACCTTTTCTGCTTCTTTTTCT